AGGGGGTAGAATGAATGGCATATCTAAGCCTTTTTTTCGACAGTCCGACTAATACCCCCTAATACATTTCCTTCATTTCATTTTTGTAAATGAGATTAAGGTTCTAGTTCGCAGATTTATGACCCATTTTTCGGGTATCCCAATGCAAACAGTATTGTGTGTCCAGAGATAAACAAAGTTGGAAGTGGTCCCTTTTTTCGGGGTTGATTTGTTTGAGGCGGTTGTGCCAGAGATAGTTTAAATCGTAATATGTCACGTAAATAGTTTGAATGTTAAATGGAAGTTGCGATTATTTTGTGGACATTGTAGGTAAATGATTAATGGGGAACACTCGCGAGCAAAACATGAAGGAAATTGCAAATAATATTGCCGCATACTTTTAGAAAGAAATTATTTTGTTTAGCTAGAAAGGAATACATTGAAAAAGTAGTTCAGGCAATATCCAGACAAATATTGTGGAAAAAAGATTAAATTTATTGTCATGGTTGTCTCCAGATCTGCTTGAATGCTTCTAAACGAGTTGACCAATCTTTCCACATTAACTTTGTCGTGTTTCTAAGCTAGTTCTTCTGCCTTTTAGCTATTCTCTTAACCATTTCTTTCGCTTTTCCTGGTGGCAGTTTTATCTAAACTGCTCAACAAAATAGTCGTTACACGGACAAAATTTGACTAATTTTGGAACTGGATAAATTCGGATTGATGAGAGCGATTTTATTTCTGTTTGAAGAGCTGCTTAGTGCAATTATTTCTTGGGCAGTGTGTAGTTTTACAAAAATGTTCAGTCTTTCAGATAAAGTTGCTACAGTGTGGCAAATTGCCAAAGTTGCATGCCAACATGCTCTCAGTTGGCCAAAAAGGGGATTTTTTCAACAGAGTTGTGCTTTCAGTAAAGAAGAGTACGCTTTAAATGTGGTCAAAATTTCGAACTGTTGCGGGACACATCTTGTATCGCGTTTTTCTAAAATAAATTTCTCGGAAACAGAAACTACTCTACAAGTTCAAAGTTGTGCGTTCGGTAAAGAAGAGTGCCCTCTAAATGTCGTCAAAATTCCTTTAAATATTCAAAAATTTAATCAAATCGCACGAAATCCTGAATTTAGCGCTTTTCGTAAATGTTGATTTGAAAATGAACGCTTTTACGCAACTGCAGACTCTTCAATAAAAAATGTCAACGTTTTTTTAATTAAATTTTGACAACTTTTTTTGACAAATCCAATGTGTGTTATAACTGAATCGAGTTCTCGATCGAGATCGAGATCGAGAACCAATTCTCTATTCAATCTTACAAAAACGAACTCTGTGGCTGAAATGGTTCTTGAGCAACGTCAAAAAGGTGGCATCAGGTTTTGGTCGATTTTGCAATAAAAAAAACCAGGCAAAACTAAAACTCTCGACTTTTTTTGCAAAAAATATAAAACTGGAACTAATATTTCCATATATGAAAACGATCTTTGAAAACAAGTTACAGATGTCGTAAAATGCTTGATGTAACAATCGACGCCCCCCAAAATATTCCCAAAGTTTAAAAATTTGGTCAATGGTTTAACTGGAACCGGAATTTACATATCTGAAGGGGTTCTTTAGCGAAAAGTTTCAAAATGCAAATAATCTGCATTATTGAAGTTTTTCTATGAACTAGAAGCTCGTCGATGTAAAGAATATTTCTCTGAAATTAGGACCAAGGAAGCACTGAAAAAATCTACCAAATTTTCGCCTTGTATTTAACTGAATTAAACAGTTCTTCTATAGACTTTCGCTTATAAGTCAAAATCTGTTTGCACTCGTTTACGTTCAATTGCTTAAAAATAGCCGAAGCCAATCACCTGTAAATGCCCGTTTTCGCTGTTTGCAATCTTTGATCATTTAGACTACTGATGGCTTACGATGTTAAACCTTAATTAACGAAGATAAAGCCTCACTTGCATCCATAATAGCTTAATAGAACACGCATATGAGTGATACACTCAGAAGTGAGAATCTATCGATAACCTGCCTTCTTTGACCCGCATATAAACCAGAATTTATCCTGAAACAGAACTTGATTACCTATGGATATTTGCAGAGAGAAAATTGATAAAAGTTATAAATAACAGTTAAATCGCTGATCGAGAAATATACATTCTGCCGTTAAGTCATTGGCTGAAAAAGAAGAAATAAAACTAAATAGCGTTCCCAAAATAATAATCAATGTCCTACCACAAGAAGGAATGTAGAGACGGAAATTTCAAGGAAACTGCTGGAGCAAAAAAATCAAAATATGAAGATAAAATCGACAGGAACAAAAACCCGCACTCACGAGGATTGAACTTGAAGGAAAGAAAATGATAGCAAAAAATGGACCGAACGCCACTGGCTTCCTTAAACATCTGGAAGATATTCAAGGCTTGAAATAAAAATACATATATAAGTAAAATTTTGCTGGCAAAAAAACATTGCCAAAACCGGTTCAAACTCTTTGCTCGCAACTATCGATGTGCAAACTTCCAAAGTTCGCCCGACTTGCTCCCGATTAACTCAATTGAAAAATCCATTAATTCCAAAGAAAATAATCGATTGGGATACAGGCTGGACTGACTGAGCGTGTGAACCGGACTGGCCATTTAGATGAACGCGAATTGAGTTATCTGGTGCACCTTTTTGACAAGCCAATTCAATATACCGATGCAAAGATCACTATCGATTTGAACCGCGATTACCCAAAGTGATAATGCTGTCTCGATCTGGCAAATCTCGCACCCGGTTTTTGTTGCAAACGGATATCGGGAGACCCATCTTTGCCCTCGCACCGATTAAAAACCCATTGGAGCTCAGAGGGCCGGACACATGCCATCGGGCTCATTGTTGTAACCCGTTCATTCATCTAAAGCACTATGGACGTGATGTATGAGGTTCTTGGTATGATTTACACGCATCCAGTAGCGGCGAGCTTATTTTATAATGAAAAAACTTCATTGTTAAGCGTGATTATTCCGAGCGCGTTATTTCCCGCATGCATCAACACAGAGTCACCTACATAGTAAACTGGGGCAGCCCCCCAATATAAATTACCAAAGGGGTGAGTCAGTTATCGCGAAACTAATTAAAGTCTAGTTACACGCTACCTTTGCCTAATTTCCTCATTAGAGCCGCGAAATCATAATTACGAGAAAACATGTCTTCTTTGAACTCTACGCCTTTCAGAACTGTTGTGCACTTCACCGAGTCTCTAATCATTACGGTGAGGATGACTGTAGTTTGTTTTCAATTCTGTTGTCGCAAACACAAATATGCAAGGAATAGAATGCCAAATCAGGGTGTTCTACACCTTTTATTATATGAAAAAAAATTACTTGTTCTAATATCACAGATGGATCTTCAAGGAAAGTTTTATAGTGAACAAAGCTGATTGAACCACAGAAATCTTTAAACCATTTTAATATATTTATTTGCTTGTTTTCATCGAACTCAAAACGGTTTTAATTTTTTAATTAATTTTATTTCCTCTATTGCTTTTGGTATGACTTCAACAATCAGCTTTCACTTAAAATTTAAAAAAAGTAAAAATAATTAACTTTCTTGCAGTCAACCACACCTCGGATATCCAGAGTATATGCTGTAGAAAATTTGAACGACTGAGGCACACCTTAAAAACTAACCTCAAATTTGCGGTATATCGGTCGTAAAATAAATGGTTTTTATAGAAAACGATACTTGGATGATAAATCTCGGAATTTTCCTCAAAATATGCACACTGACAATAAGTGGAAGTAATTGCAGAAACAAAAAGAAAAATTTAATTGCCTGGTTGACTGAGGCTTTAGCTGATGGTTTGGTTAACTAAACGTTTCTGGAAAAACTTTCAAGCCACTTTAATACCGACTGTCTGAGGCTCTGAATTAATTCTAATTAATCTTGAAAAAGGGTTTTCTCTGTTAACCACCACCAATTCAAGATCACCGAAAATTCCGTGAATACACGAAAGGAAACTTTCAGCTTCTGATTTGAGGCACGATTTTCAGAATGCACTTGACTAGGCATCAGCAAATAATAATTCGATTGGGCAGAACCTGATGCTAAAGAGGAATATTTCGAATCGGATGAATTTCCTGTTAATTAAACATATGTTTCAAGGCAGAACTGTAATCATGAATTACGCGAGGAGGGTTAATTATTGCACATGAGCAGCCGTAATGGACTAACAATGTGATATACACGCATAGGTGTTAAATTCAATGCGATTCACAGAGCAGAAATTAATGTTTAGTACTCAAACCATTAAGTCATAAAAGCAGTAAAATGAACAAAATAAATCAATGAATTTTCAAATTTCGCTTTCTGAGTCAAAATTATTCAAATTTCCTCACTCATGTTGTTCTGACTGAATCGTGCAGGGTAGTGGAAAATGAGGAAACTGTTGATGAGAACAAAGGAAAAAATTGACATTGGTGGAACAAGCCAAAAGCAAACGAAATGAACTTTCTTCAATAAACTATCTACTTCTCACTGCTTTAAATCACAATCCTTATAAATAATCCTCAACACTTTTAAATGATGTGTTAGGCTTTGGAAGCAGTAGCCATGGCGAAACAAACAGCCAACACACTCGGTATAGAAGGATGACTTTAATAGAAGAGGAATATGTTTGTGTAACTCAACCTATGATGACATTTTTAGTCAATTTTGATCAGTATTTCCCGTCATGTTCACTAAATAAACACCCTTAAAAACCCCGGAAAATCTATACCTATTATAAGCTGCTCAAATTGTCCGTACACAAAGTACTATGAAATAAAACTTGTTGAAATACTATTTGAAAATCTGTATACCGCGCCACATGGGAATAAATCAGCCAGCTCAATTGGGCGCTCGGATATAAAATTTAATTTTCTCGTTTCGCTGTATCAAAATGCCAAAGCACAATGGCAACGAACGTTTAAACCAAACACCCCCAAAACAATTTATTGTTAGTTGACATAAATATAGAATATTCAGCACCGTTTTTGCATAATCCCGCCGACGATTGTCATATTTTCATACAGCTCGCAGCTTTATTTCAATGCGTTTTGCCATTTGCTAATTTTGTGCCACTGGGACGAATTTAACAACTGATAGCTTGAAATTGATTTTATGAAAGCCATGAATTCACCTTTCGTGGCATGATTAAGTGATAGTTTTGTGGTTTTGGTGAATTGTGAAAGTTTTCAAGAACAAAACGGTTTTGAACCTGAAACTTGACCCAAAGAAAACTAACCCCAGGTAAATCCCCCAAAAATGCAATTTTCTTTTCTTTAATTTGCCACATAATTTTGTAACTTTTGTTGCCATTCTTTCAAACACCTGATCTGGACATAGAACGATGTGCTGATTACTGAAACCTCGAAGGAACAACAGAGAAAAGACAAGAGCTTACATCTTACGTCGATAGTAAACAGACACAATTAACTTCTGAGTAAAAAGTGGAAACATTGAAGACTATTTTGTCTGGATTTATTTTGGGAAGAAACAAAGAAAATCACAAAATCCATGTTTGAGAGGAAAACTCTTGGGACTGACTCCAATTGGAGTCACTAATTGAAGGTAAAACGTTGTCAAGACAAGATGATGCGTTCAAGGTACATATCAAGAAGTAATGAAGAAGAAAATATTTAGAAAAACTTTTGAACATCCTAAACACAAGATAAGTGTAATAAATCAGCTGAAAATCTTAAACATTTCAATTTTCAAGTAGGATTATAAATTAAAAAAAAGGTTTTGCCATTGTTGTAACAAAAAACTTAATGATATTACTTATCGACGAAATCTTAAATTTTAATTTATTTTAAAAGTTTCCCTCATTTTAGGCAACACTCGAGCAACTTGGGAAGAAACAGGCTAATCTGTGAAGCTGCGAGATTATACAGATAAAGAAGAGTTTTTGGACTGTTTGGAAGTTATTTTCCTTTTATTAAATTGAGTTCACATGCCGAAAAAAAAATAGTTAAGGTCTGGTTACTGAAGTTTCGTCATTTTGCACTTTTTCTCGAGCATCAAATCAAAGCATGTATCAGTTTAAACAGTTTATTCCGGGCATTTAACCCTTATTTTAGCGTATTTTTGCTTCACCCGAAAATGCCACAATTAGCACTTTTCCTGCAAAAAAATTGCTTATAATAAATTTTAATTTTGATGCCTATCTTTCCGCGGAGTTCATTGTTTTGTTTCTGGCTCCATTTTCGGCCATAACGATAAGGTTTTGTTTGCCTTTAATTTTGAGTGGGTTTTATGGTCTTTTCTCCACCAAATTACTTTAAATTGCAACCGCAAAGTAAATGTAATTAAAAAGCAAAAAAACGCGCTTTTCACTGCCCAGATTTGTAATTTATTTGCATAATTTCAACTTTTCAATTTGGTGCAAAACTTCATCCGTTTAATTTAAATAATTTATCAGAATTAAATATTTATTAAAACTATATTTTACAGTGAACTGACAATTCGGTACGGGTCACAAGACTGGTCCATTTGTATTAAATAACTTTTTAATTCGAGATTGAACAAAATCGGAAATGTATGCGGTCGAAACCAGCCAAATAAATTCTGATAGCAGATCGCATAATATTTTATACATCGGAGTTTTGTGATTTTTCGAGCATATATTTTGGCATTGTTCGGGCTGGACTCATTTTAATTTATAATTAGGGTCAACTGGTTATGCAGCAAAGAATGACAGAAATTGTGAATATTCATTGAATGTTTAATATAATTTTTATCGTTATTGATGCACATTTGGGGCATCCAGATTTTTATCGGATGTTTCGACTGAAATGGTATTTAGATGTCTATACATATCCAGTTTTCGATTGAAATTATATGCCGTCGTTATTGCAATAAGCTGGGCATGTTTTATTTGGAACAGCGCAAATTCCAAAAATATTTTCATGCCCATTTTAAGCTAACTGCATATCGGTAAATTCAGGTATATCAGTTTACTGCCTCTAATGCAACAACCAAAAAAAAATATTTATACTTTCCCCATGAAACTGGGATTGCAGTAGCAGAAAAACCAATTCAAATTATATTTTATTCAAAAACGAAATCCAATGTGCTTTTGCATCGGCACAGCTATGTAATCTGATGCGTAATGCCCGGCTTATAAAACGAACTCATTGAATCAAATCTATTACATTAATTATTAAAATAAAACGCCAAATACACAAGTCAATAAATGCGGCGGTATGTTTGCTGTCCAATTATATAAAATTAGTTTTCACGTAATACACTGCGTGGGACAAAGGCAAAAAGTACTAATATATTACAAGCTAAAAATAAACTGTTAATTCGATGAACCCGGCAAGTTTTAGGATCTCTTGTGAGCAGGCAAGTTAGATCAAATAGAAAAAATGTTTCATGTTATTCAGTTACAAAAAAAAGATATAAATATACCTACATTTGTAGATGATTTTGGTAAATTAATAGAAAATAACCGTCTCAGCATCTTAATTTTTTTCACAATCAGTATTTATTTTGCTCCATTCGAGTTATTCAAGGAAAGCATGCTCCGGAGCTAAACGATCTTAAACAGAAACTATTACAGTTCCTTAAGCGTCTCTATTGTTTCCTCTAGAAGCTGGCAACATATCCTGAATCAGAAGTAATTATGCCTTTCGCAAATACAAGCCAAAATTTAGTCGATGATTGAACTGAGCGGGCTTTCTATATAATAGTGCTCTCTTCAAACTTTAAATTAAATCTGATGGGGTGTAAAATGTCAGGTGTTGGAAATGCGAGTGCTTTGCCGTAACTCTAGAACCGGTTTTCATGTATACAACTCCATTCTGTAACGTGATAAAATGACTCTCAAACTGCAAAATTGCAACATCAACACTTGCGTAACGTGGAAATACTGGCAAATTATCCATAGATTTTTCGAAACTGTTTTGGTCGCAGATCAAAAGCGACGTTCTGCTCGAACAAATTACCTTAGGAAAGTTGCTCGGTTCGCATCGGTCGGTCCCCTTTCATGAAACACTTTTTAAGGGGATTTGTCTGCGGACTTTAAAGTCGTTTATTAAAATTGAGTTTGCAAATTGCAAACATTGCTGTATGCGCCGAGAATCTCGGTAAATATTAAAGCAGAGTTTACGTGCGTACTCTCCTAATCGCATAAACATTATTAAAATTAAAAAAAACATGGCTGAAGATAACGATATCCGTTAGGGCGTGTTAGTGTGATTATTTCAATTTTATATTCTGCCTGAAGCGCCAGCTTCGCTCTAGGAAACTTCTAAGAAGAAGGAACAAAAACATGAAAATTCTCAACGTGCAAAAACTGATTTCTTTGACGATTTTTCATTAACGGCAGTCGCATTCAAAGAGAGCAGCTGGGATAATTCCATTTAATAATCGAGCTGAAGAAAAGTAAATCTTCCGTTTCCGTCGATTTTGCAGCCCCCTTTTGGAACCGTCAATCCGAATAATTTCTAATGCATAAAGTGATGTCACTTAGCGAGGAGTTGGGTCACGGGATCGAATCATCGGGAATTCGGAGCGATTAAAATTCAGAAAAGCTCCCCCATTCTGATTTTAAGAGCTCACACTTACAGAACTCCCCAGCCCCAAAACAGAAAAAGGGCCGACCTGAAAAATGTGTCTCCCAGCTTTATTAGCGTTCTTTTCCTTTATCAATAGGGGATATTTGCCTTGCTGTTGTGATCGTTACGGTAAAGGACTTCAACTTATTTTCAAGCGCTTTAATTATGAGTAATGTTCATTTTGGAGAAAAAATTTTACCCATTAAAAATGTTAAAGGCTCTGCATTCAAGGAGATCCGTGTGTTGAAAAGCTCTTTGTAGGGTTTTTGTGCATCGAAAGAAGGAATTCTTCATCAAAAGGTCGGTAATCAAGAGCTACCACACAGAGATAAATTAGTAAAGAAATTAATTTCTTAAACTTACGTACGTTGAAAAAGAAATCTGATGTCGTTCTCTGGAGATGCCTGAAAAAGAACATATTCATAAATAGCCTAACAAGGCTAAATTTATATAAACTAGTGAAAAATCTGATTTCCAGTCAGCAAGGAAATTTGTTTGGAAAAATTTTCTTAATGTTTCAGTAGCAATTCTGCTAAAAGACACCGAAAAAGAGTCAGTGAATCAATCATCTCTGAATAATAAATTGAGTGTTCTTGCCGAATTCTAAATATATGGAATTGAAGCCAAATATGTATTAAACCAGTCAATATTGTCCATTAAATCAAACGTGTTTATTGTGAAAATTCTGGTACGGTGCAGTTCGATGTCAGACATTTACTCAAAGCTGGCGTTACATTAAAAAGATCCAGCCGATTTTTCCGGCACATGGTATTATACAAAGGTTTTTCCCAAGTCTCATAAACACGTTTTATCAGGGAGAAATATAGGCCATAAACACCAAAAGTCGCAGAGAGTGTGTAAAGAATTAGATGTTTCCGCACAGTCCGTAAATTTCACTATTTTACCCATGTCGGAGGTCAGAAAACCCACATAAAATGAAATAGCCGGCCGGTTTTTAGCATCTCCAAATCCGCAAAATATATACCCACTCGGTCCTTGATGACGATAATAAAAAAATATATACATTTCAGTTCGAATTAGGTCTATGTTTTTTGGCACCATTTCCATTAACTGGCAGTTGGCTTGATCCGGAAACAATTTGTTAAAAGTCCGGCTTTTACCAGAAAGATAACATTTTCCCAAGAGCGATCCATTGAATAAGCATACCTGAATCAGCTTTCCCAGCCCGGAAATGCCAGGAATTAAATGCTGTAGCCGGAAAATCGAACATAAACCCAAGTATCTGGTGTCAAAATACACATTGTTCGCTCGAATGTCGGTGTTTGAAACGCGATTCTAACAGTGAAAAAATTATTTTTTACAATCGACAATGAAAGAGCTTAAATAAAGCTGCAAAAAGCAAGAAACGAATGTAAATGACAATCAAATTATTTAAACTCGTTGGCAAACAACGAGGCACAGATTGTCGCAATGTAAGAACAAAATTTTAAACTCCCCAAACAGATGAATATTTTATTACGATGCGAGAAGGCTTTGTTGGCGCCAAAAGAAAAAAATGCGGAAATTATATTTCAAGTAATATTCCAAAACTCTACAAAATTGGCGAGATCTGAAGGAGTCATTCCGACGAATCGAACGAAAGAATACCCCTCCATACTTCCAATTCGTAGGCTTCAAAATGATGCAACAATTGAACAATTAATCCCAGCTTAACGACTGTTTTCAGCATTTCGCCTCGTAGTGCTTTTTAATGCAAAATATGTCCCACTGAAAGTTTCCAATTGATCTTCCGCCCGGTTTAGTTACATAATCTACCCAAACTTTCCGAATAGTCTGCTCTCAATCCGGAGTTTTATGGGAAACAAACAACAGCTGATGAATAATGCCGATTTCGCCAACGAAGCTTGTTTTATGGTAACCCATAAATAATTTTGCGAGCGAACGTAAAGTATCTGCGACTTTTCGACTCTGTTTTCACTGAAAACTATTTCAGTGAATATCATGGAAAGTTCAATCATTTGCTTATAATATCTGGCCTCAGATCAAATCAGATCAGTTCTGGTTTTATCGTGCTGGGATCTCCAATCAAGTTCAAGTTTGGGCTTTTTGGGACACTTTGGGCTCATATTTGCGCACATCCGAACAAACTAGGAGTCCTCTTTTTTCCAAATTGCCTTTCTTCAGATAAATTTCAACACATTGACAATGAAATGGATCAGAACATGGCCCGACTTTCTTATGAACTATTCGAGTTGCGGCGTGTCTGCCCTTACAAGCCATTGAATTTGGCAGAAGTATCGGCTCCATCAAGTGAAAATGGTAATCGACAAAGAGTTGCCAGAGTAGGAGACCAGCAAGCGCCAAATAAACTGGAATTGTTCGAGAAAAACCGGGAGAAAACTCTAGAGTTTTGAGTTTACTCAATGGGAAATGTTCATATATATTGCAATAAAGACAATATTATATATATAAATAATCTTTATTTCCTATAGAAAAGGGCTATCGACCCAATTGGTCTTTCTGCCCCGACAATATTATTTTATCTGCAATTGTGCTTTGTCAGGAAGCGAAAAAAGCAGCAAAACTTGTTTCAAGAACTTGGAAGATTTTCTATGAACTTTTTCATTTCGCCAGTCGGATGATTCTGGAATTTTCAAGAAAATTTCAATCGATTCTTCTAGTGACTGTTTTTTTTCAGTCAATTTTCGTCAAAAGTCTTATTTCTCAGAGGGTTGTGCCCATTTCGTTTCTAAGCGATTTTATTTTATATATTATTATATGTATATACTGATCGATATTTTCTCAGTGATCAACTTTTGCTTCTTTCCTCCAGAAACTTCCTTTCTACATTAATAACCAATTTTTCGTTTGGTTTGTTTATTGGTATTCGTTTGGTATGTAACACTGAAATCCGGCATTAGTTGCCTAAAAATCGAACTCTCTACCGAATGAGAAAAAAAATAGAACTTAATCAATGGGCTTTACAGTTTAAAACTTATAAATGCCGGAGGATAATTGCAATGAAAATTCTTAATTAAGTTTGATGCAAAAGCTACAAGCAGAATGGAGAATGTCAAATATTCCCTAACTTTTATTGTGAATATTTTTTCAATCGAATCATATCCATATTATTAAATGACATTGAGTTATAAGATAGGCAAAAATATGTATCGAGTGTTTAACTACTGTCCTGTTCTCTTGATCAAAGTTTTAATCTTTCTGCGGTCAAGATGGGGCCGCCCTGACAGAAATCTTCTTGTTTTCAAGCCTGAAAATATGTTTTTTTCGTTTAGTTTCCTGACAAAATAAAACAGTATTTTCCCGTTCCTCCATCAGTTATATCTCAACGATTTTGAGTCGTATCTGGCTTTATAGAGCCATTTTCTTGATAAATGAATATTGACAACTGTGCGACGAGACACAATGGTTGCGTCGTAAGTGTGTCGCAGCAAGGAACAACAATTTTCACTTTATATGCGTTTTACTTCCATTTGCGCCCCCCCGAAAGCAGTTTATTTTCGTGTTTTTCGTTCGGGTTGGTTTTAAAACCGCATTCGACGGAAACGCGCCTCTCTAGCGAAAATGCTCATATAATTGCAACTATGAGTGCCACAATTGTGGAATTTCAGTCTTCGAAATAAATACATCAAAGCAGCAAGGGTTTAACAAACACACAAAAATAATTTAATGATAATTTATTGCCCGGCGGCATCGGGGGCCAGGTTGTGCGGTTTTCTTTGCGGCTGATTGCGAATAAATATTTATGAGCCCAGAATCTCAGCGAAAAGATAACACGTGAAAATTAATCTGTAGCAGCCCCTTGGTAAATAAGCAAAAACATTTTCATGCCCTTCTTCTGGGGCAAATGTTTTGGAGGAGTTCAGTTTTGCAAATTTCTGGGCGTGATATGGAGTGTATCAGTACAAAAATATATTTTTAATAGAGCCACAGCCTGCCTGGTCGAAAGTGTCCCAAGCCTGCATTTTTTGTCTTTCTTGTCATTTTATTTACTTATATGTAATCAAGTTAAAAAATTGCGTTTAAATATGCTCAATTTTATTGCCGTTTGCCTTGACTATGCCAGATACTCTCCAGGTAAGTTAGGGAGTCAAAACATCACGAGTGAATCTGCAACTTGAACGCTTGCAAATGAAGTCATGTAAAATACGGCAGGATTTTATGCCCAAATATCCAGGAAATTTCCTCCTATTACCAAGCTCAACTACAGGTGTATCTAAAATTCTCAAATATTTGCTTCAATTATATCTTATATTACGTTACTGGCAAACAAAGAGTCCTTACGATGCGAACAAAAGGGGCGTGTCTATTTCAAAATATTTACCTTGTTTTGAGCCCGTTAAACTATATTACGCAAGCATTAGGAGTTTATTTACATACAACTGTATGCATGTTCAGGAAAATTAGCGATACGTGCATTGCGGAATAAACGGGATCCCTTAAGGGGATTAGAATGTTTAATTATCACGGTATGGATAATTTGCAACGCTTAAGGTGGTGTACCATCTAACATCCCCCGATGAATTTAACGCTTAATGGAAGAGAAGTTGTAAAGAAGCGCACAATTTGCTGTGGATTACAGTGACGGCACATCACGTAGTTTCGATAGAAACCAGGAAATGCCCGGATTTGGGACAAAAGGGACAAAAATCCCCACATACTGACTGCGCGGGAACAAATCTTTCTGCAATCAAAAATATATTGTAGCCGACTTGGGTTTAATCCGCGAAAATAAAACACATTTCCTCTAATAATCACCGTTTCGATAACGCTTGGACCTTCCGTTAGCTGCACCTGCGTTCAATTTACTGTATTGCTCAACGAACTAATACGCAGTGAAAATAAAGTTATAACTGGAGATTACAGTTTAGTTTAACGCCATTCCATGGACTTTGCTAGATCCCCATTCTGCAAAATTCAGGTCAAAAATCATTTTGGCCTCAACACTATTAACACTTATATAAGCTGAAACGCTTTTGTTTGTGTGCCCTCACCTACAAAACATGCTGGCTGAACAAGTAAAGTTTACTTACGCTATTTGAAAGTCTGCACAAGCAGAAAATCGTCGTAAAATGGAAATGACGCATTTCACAGCAACGATATCAACGTTTCAGTGTGTAAAAAAACGATTTAGATTAGAAGGTATCTTAAACTCCCCGATTTTTATGACAAGAGGAAATAACGCATTTCCGCTCAATCGCTGAGAAACATTGAAAGCACGTAAAGTAATAAAAGTCAGAGCGAAATCAAGTGAAACTGATTTGGGTTGACGCTTTCTATGAAAGCAAAAATACTGTTTACAACTACCTACACAACTTTGTTAAAAGTTGCAGAGTTTTACAGAATCAAAAGCATGATGTTGCAAAAGTATGTCCTCTCAACATCGATTTTCCTGAGCCATTTTTATTTCGTCCAGACCAAACAG